TAGCTATGGCATCCTTCTGTGTGAAGCAATAACCTGTCAGTTTCCTGAACCTGGCTTGCTGCAGAGTCTTCTTCAAAAAGTCAAATTGAGCTCAAAGCCATTGTATGATATAATCAGTTCCTGTATCAAAAAAGAACCTCATGAGCGACCTACAATGGAAAAGATCTTGGAAAACCTGGAGCAGATAATTTTTGTATAGGCATTTAAGTATTAATAATATCTTATATTGTCTATGCATATAACTGTGTCTAACATCAATGAATCATAGATCATATTTTACACAGTTCTGCAATGATGTTACACGTGGATTCACGTGGCACTTGTAGTTGGCGTCATGGCACGTCAGTGCATGATATCAGCTAAACTTAACCCCACACAGGGCCCACAGGCACATTGTCAAAATGGCGGAGTCTAACTACGAGGCTAACAGTGAAAGTAGCATTAAAAGTAGTTCCCATGAGGATCCATCAGTGGGTAAGTGAATGAATACAATTAGCTCCTCTATTGTATATTGTTATGCAAAAATTTAAGGGGGGAACCTACTAGCTAGCTATGATTTTTATATCACTGGCTATCGGCAAAACACTCAGTTTTATATAGCACTTCTATCTAATGACATTTCATGATTTACAATGATTATCACATGTATTGGGTGGGGTTAAGATACTTTCAAGCATACTGGCTCTTCTTAGTAATTCTGATTGCTCCTTAAAACACTGGAAACTGCTGAAATCATAATCAGGGCCTGGGCTAGACAAATTTGTTAAGAGGCTTAGCAATGATGTTATGTAAGAGACCAGAACTTCCGTAATTTTTTTCTGAGCCTAGCTATAAGGGGAGTGCTTACTAAGCCGCTTCATTCTCCTCCCCTAAATATGCCCTTATTTGAGATCACTTTTGAAAGTTTAGGTAATTTTTTAGTCTCGCCCCACCCCTTCACTACCTGGTCTGGAGACACTTGTAGTAAGAATGTGTGCAAACAGGAACACATTTATTGTCTAAAAATGTCTGAAGTTCCTTTAGTTTAGTTAGCTTTAGATGTAGTAAAAGTTCTAGAATTTTTTCAAGCTATTGGAGTAGCCTTTGTACAAAATTGCTACCTTATCTTGCTGCTAGAAAACTTATGACTTTTTCTTTGTGTTGATTGCCATTTTATTTTTTTGTTTTTACTCATCTCTTTTGCGTTTAATGTAAATATTGAAATTGTATGTATTTGGGAGGAGCACGAGCGAGACCCACTCTAATCTGTCTAGGTCTGTTTTGCATTACCTCTTGTTTGTGAACGGATGAAAACGATTTATAAATCAGTATACGGTTAATAAATTTGGACCACACGGACAAATTTTGGAAGTATTATTATATAAGAATCTGGTCACAATGAACAAGATGGTGGCATTTAAATGGAAAAAACTCAGTTTAAGTTTTCTAACAGCTACAATGTAGAATAGAGAGAGGAGGTATCCTAAGCATCTATAAAAGCTAAAGAACTTGATAGCAGTTTTATTTAAGACTCTTCTAGATTAGTTCTCTCATTAAGATTGTAAGAAGAGCTAGTTTAGCTTTTTTCTTAGTTACACACTCCTCATAGTGGTAGGACTCATTCTAGTCTCTTTTGCTGGGTTATTTTAGTTGTTTTAGTTGGTGTGTTGGCTCTGTTCAGACCCCGACCATGAGGGCAGGATCTGAATATGCATGCTGGTTCGGGTAATGGTCTCACAAAAAGGGAGGATAATGTTCTTTTCTCTCACATTAGACTAAGAGCTGCATTTATTTATTTATTTTAATGTTAGTCAAAAAATGTCAATCGATGACTTATGCTTGCCCCTCAATTTTTACATTCACCTAGTTATATTACATTGCTAATGCATTGTTATGGCATGTGATTATATAGGAGATATGGAATGCATATGTGTACAGACTACAGATGCATAGACACTGAAGAGTGTTGTCTTAATGAGGCTTACCCCAAGCTTGCTTCATTTACTTAAATTAGGAGTAGGCCATGAAACGTTACTTAATTAAATTGGGGGTAGACTTTGCTTGAGAGGTTTTGTGTGTGAAATATTATCAAGAGTATGCATGGCTTGTTTAAATTGCCGTCCTAACCATTGGCTGTACTGTAATAAACTACTAATTTAAAATGTATGCATAATGTTTTTGTTGGTATATGTGTATTCATTTAACACTTTGGACTGTAGTTTTTATTGTATGTGACCACACGTATGTAAACTGATGTAATATGATGTATTATGATGTAATGCATACACTCCTTATTTAAAGCTGTGTAATCTATTATTTCTTTCTGGTATTGTTACCGTTTATTGTTGTGTTGATTATTGCAAGAGCTAAACCTTTTAACAGTTTTTTAGTTTTACATGTTTGTGTACATGTACATGTATGTTGTTAACTTGTTACTGCATTTTCTTATTTTGTTAATGTAGGTATGAGTATTAGAGGAGAGGAGAATATTTCTGGTAAGAGGCATACAATATTGACTCACTGCATTCTGTTTCATTTTAAAAATAGATGACCCTAATCCCTCCACAGCCTCTATTGGAAGTCAACCAGGCTCTTGTGAACAAAATTGTATGACCATTAATTATGTAGTGTTTCTTTATTAACATTGTATTCATTGTAAGCATAATTAGTGACTTACACTGTGTGCCCACTCACACGTACTGTACATGTACCTGTATGTCTACATCATTTGTGTTTTCCATTATTCTTTGACTTTACATTTTATTCAATAGCTCCTGCATGTGCTATAAATTATTGTACTACCGTATATGTTCAAATTTTCGTGTTTTCAATGAAACGTGCTCATAAGTTAAAGGGACACATGCACGGAAGCACGTCATCTTGAAAAATTGGCCCGTTTTTCAAGATGACATCATTAATGATGACGTTTAGTGTTGATAACTATTCATAACGTGCGGCCGCGTCCCTAATAATTAAGGCAAAATGGCTACTCGAGTGGCTACTTGTAAATATTCTTGGTGTTTCTTCACTAAAAAGAGTATCTTGGGGTGGCAAAAGAGCTAGTTCTGTTTGAGAGAAGTGTTCTACAGATGCCTACTCCTGGTTCTGCAACTGATTGCTGTCTCTGTCTAAACATGTGTCATAACTATTAATTAATGATCTGTTGCACGCCCAATTTAATGTTTACTTCCTCTATAGTAACGTGTGCATTCTATTTCCGTGAACGTGTCCCTTTAATATTCGTGTGAGCTAATTTTTGTATTCTGGCCATAGTCTACATACAATAGAATGGTATTAGAGGTGGTTTAAATTTCATGGATTTAAGGTGAACACGGAAATAACGAAAAATAACACACCACGAAAATTACCGCGTATATGGTAATTCCTAACTTTTGTGCTCTGAATATGTTACTTATTGTACTGGGCTATGTTTATTAGTCAAGGCCGGTTTTGGTTATAATGAAAATGGTTGTGACCTTCCATGTCTATGCATGTATATTGTAGCTCAAAACTTTTAAGCATAGCAAATTTTGTGGTTTGATCCCGAAAAGTGAAATATTTTAATAGCAACGTGTGGTTCAATGAATCAATAATTAATTTAGACATGTGATGATTTTAATTGATGCTGTACAAGTACTGGAATTTTCAGAAAGTTTGAATTTCAAACTTGAGCTATAAGCCTTTGATTTTGGCACTTAACGTACAGTCCACTACTAAAAATTATGATAAAATGTTTAAAATGTACATGTATTATGACTCAAATCTAAATATGTACATGTACACGTGTACATGTACATGTAGCAACACTATTATTGACTGTTTTGAAATATATATTATAACCAATTAACCATTCATAATTAATATTTTATTTTTCAGCAGTAATGACTGCAGAGTCAGGAGTGGTGCAAGATGAAGTCACTGATGTTGGAAAGATGCACAATAAAGGTAAGGGACATTAAATATTATTTAATATTAAATATTAAATATTAAATATTAAATATTAAATATTACATTATCCAGGTCATGCTACAGTTATACTGTATTGTGCTATATGTAATGTATATTATAGTATGCCTTCGAGGTCTCATATGCTAGCTGCTATAGATCAAGAAGGCTATAATATGATATATTTTATACTGACAGCCACATCAAACTCTCCGATGTTCTGAAGACTAAAAGAGTCTTAATCTTCCTCTCTTTGTTATTGCAAGGAAAAGACTACTGAATTTTGTCACTGCTGGCTTGGGCATGCTCATTGTGTTGCCAGATATCATTTTCAGACCTATTGAATATCATCAACACCCATTATGTGCCATATTTACAACCAGGCGGCACCTTTGATGTGGCTGTTATTGTTGCCGAGTTTTATTTTGGCAATTTGCTTGCAAATTGCCAATATTAAAACTGCTAATCATTAATGCACATGCTTACATTGCTCAGTAATGCATGTGTACACAAAAATTGCTAAATTAAAAATTGCCAGTTACAATTTTACAGCAAAATTTCCAAAATAAAGTGGTATGTAATACTGTACATACATGTACTCTACCTTAAGTGATAACGACATTACTAAAGTCTGTTCAGTTTCACCTGACCTATGGATTTTTTGTTATTACTTTTGATAAACATGGAATTTAGAAATTTTGTTTGCACCATTAGAATTGCTAAGTCCTTCCTGTCCTTTAGAAAAAAGATTGCGTCAAAATGACAAGGCCTTAGCCTTTTTTGGATGCCCCTCTATAAAGTCAATGACATACCTTTGACCACAATTATGCAGCTAGAACAGCCAGAATAAATTCAGCTGCTGATTAGCTGCATGGCTTCCACACAACAAAAACAATTCCAAAACCACAAGTACATGTATGTAAAGAATGCGGATGTGACGTAGTTATTTATTAATTGATAAAAGCCAGGGTTCAGGTGAAAGTGAATAGACTTTAAAATAATTATTTTAACTATTGCCATTATACGATGAAATACATTGGGTGCCTTTTTTTGAAGGCTATAGATTTCGCGGATTTTTATTTTGCATATTAAATTTTTGTGAATTTATGCCGTTTGCCATCTTGTATGGTATTAATTTGATTTTTGTGGAAGAAATTTTCGCAAATCTTGAAGAAATCGCAAAACCCGCAAAATTTACAGCCCTCAAGAAAAAGGCGCCTATGTACCACTAGAGTTTATTTTGCCCATATCCCCAAAACTTGTACAAGTAATCAGTGGCTTTTATATTGTGACCATGTGTCATTGAGCATACTCAGAATGAAACAAGCACATTAAAATTTGCCTTACAGATATTATTATTATTGAGATTAATATTGTGTAATAGTATTGATGTGTGTCTATGTGTACCATCTTGATTACTCTTATTATGTTCTAGATAGATATTCTTTTTGTGGTTGTTCTAGAATCTGTATAGTTATTATTGGGACTCTTTATTGTGGTTTTGTAATGTACTATATGTTGTGTGACCTTTTGTCAAGTTCTAGTTTTTTGTGTTGGTCTAATTTTGCAGTGATTTGTGATAAACTTAGTTGCTTTTGAGTGATCATACATGTATACTCTGCAAAGTCACTGTTTTACAACAACAGATTGTTTTATTGTACAGATCTCCAAGTGTGTATTAAATACTTTATTAAATAATATTGATCATTCCTTACCAACCATAATATTGGGGGATTTTAACGAAGATTTGAATGGCTATGCTTATATGATTCACAAATATCATACCAAAATTGGCAGATTTTATATTAGCCTTTTTGGATTTGCCAATCTGTCAGTATATGTAGCTATACATGTAAATTTACATGTAAGGCAGATTTGCAAAGAAATAAATAAATGCCCAAGTGTGTAATCTATTTACTGATAGTAGCCGTGTTGTAACATGCAGTAATAACAGTTATTATTACTGTATGTACATGTACATGTATGTTAAAAGTGACATAAATTCAAAGTATTTGTTTCTTTTCAGATCAGAGAGCCATGAAGACCTTAAAACAAGTCCTTACAGATGCTAAAGTAGGACATTCAAAGGATATTCAAATTATTGTTCTTGGGAAAACTGGTGCTGGTAAATCAGCACTTATCAACAGCATCATTGACTTGGAGAGAATAGTTGCTAAAGAAGGTGCTGATATGGAGCCATGCACAGGCACTGTCCGACTCTACCGATGTTCTAATGTCATTCCTGGGGTTAATGTTACGATTATTGATACACCTGGTCTACAGGATATTCATCAAAAGGAGCAGTCATACATACAACAAATGAAGAGCAAATGTCAAGAGGTCACCCTAGTACTCTATTGTATGAAAATGACTGATCGCCGACTTACCAATGATGATATAGTTGCCATGAAGAAGCTTCATCAAGCCTTTGGCCCGAAGTTTTGGGAAAGAGTTGTGTTTGTCCTCACTTTTGCAAACAAGGAAGATTGTGATGAGCGAATAGATATAGATGAACCAGAGTCAGACTCTGAACCACCTGATGATGATGATGATGAGGAAGCTTGGGCTGAAATAACGAGGAAACGATTTACTCATAGAATTGAACATCGATCTAAAGCAATAAATGTGTTTTTAAAGGATACTTTTCGTATCAATGATGTCCCTTTTTCAGTTGCTGGAACGTACAAATCACATCGCAAAAACCGTAAACCTATGGTCCTACCAGATAGGGAGAATTGGGTGGTTCGTTTTCTCTCACTTTGTTCTCATGAGATTAAAGAAAAGCACAAGTTTACTAAATTGAGTTTAAATGACAGTAAGTAACAGTAACACATTTATTACTACCGTATAAGATGAAATGTTGATGGGGATTTCATATTGGCGAATTGACGGATTTATATAAAGACACCAAATTAAAATCTGCAAGCAATAATTCCATTTTATGTGTTTTAGTTAAACGCTAGTTAACATGGCTTTACTATGTTTCCTTAAGCCAGTAAGCCAGTCTCTAAGCCAGGTGATAAAGAACACAATCTTCCAGAAAAAGTACAATCTTTCTCTAATAATATGATGTCCACATATAGTATACAATTCGCAACATTCAAAGTCTCCATGCATTAATTCGTAAGTTTAGCCACACCTGCTTAAGTAAATTAACCCCACCTAAGGGTGAGGATATAATTAATTGTTAAGAAATCGCCAATATTAAATCTGCCAAAAAGCTAGCCATCACAAAACCGCCAAAGAAAAATCCCGCCAACAAATCCTCTTATACAGTATTTTGGTTTGTTTATGCATATTTGTTTACAACTATGAGCATAAAAATATATAATTTCTTTTCAAGCAGTCATTTCAGCAAATTTATTACAAATTATTTATCTAAAACTATTTTTATTCAGGCTTGCTTCATTACATGTATGTTTTAATTGTTCCTTTTATTGCAGAGATCCACTTTGCTATCATCATCAATAATTGTGGGAAGGCCAGAGAGGACACTGAAGAAAATGATCAGGTCAATATTTTGAAAAAGGCTTTTGAAGGTCTTGGTTTTTGTACTCTCTGCTTCAATAATCTCAATCTTAAGTCAATTCTTTTCCTTTTTGAAGCATTTCAGCGTGTTGATCATTCTCAGCTAGCATCATATGCATTACTATTTCTCAGTAAAGGAAATACAAATCATGTTTATGATACTAGTAACACAGTCATTACGTTTGAACAAATTTTTGCCTTTTTTAATGACGCTGGTGCTTTTCATATCCCCAAGCTTTTTCTTTTTCATTTGGCCTATGACAATGAGCCACCAAGTGATCTACTGGTGCTTCCTGATCCTCCTAATAATTCTATTGCTTTGGTTGTGTCTATAAAGCAATTAAAAAGTACAATAGTTTCACGAGCTATTCGCTCTGTTGCCAAAAATTTGCTACCTGAAGAATGTCATATCAAGCCATTGAAGCAATGCTTTGAAGAAATGAAGCACCAGATTGAGCAGTTAGATACAGCAACTTGTGTTCATAAGAATAGTCTTCAAGATAGCTTTGTTATACCAACTTTTTGTCAAGATAGTGCTCATCAGTAAGTTAATGTACTGTAATTACTATTTACATGTATGTTTACTTAAATTATTATTTATGTTTATATTTAGGTTATTGGAGAAAAAGCATCGCTTATGTTATGTAATGTGGTATCCTATTCGCTGCAAGACAATAGAAGTATTATTGGAGAATAAGGATGAGGTAATGAAAATTGTTTCATATGAAAGAATAGGCAAGATTGGGGCATCGGTAGCTGGTATAGGAGGAGGAGCTTTAATTGGAGTTGGTTTATTCCTTGCTATTCCTACTTGTGGCATTTCATTGAGTCTTGCTGCTATTGGGGGTGTAGTTAGTGGCATTGGTGCTGGTACCAATCTGATTTCTTCTATCACATCGATAGTGACATCCAATAAACGTTTGAAGAATGCTCAGTTTTTTGTTACCTTTGATCGGCAGTTTAGTAATCAGCTAAACACTATAGCTGCAAAGCATGCAGAATCACTCGAAACTTTCGAGGAAGGAACTGTTTATTGTGGAGTTAAAGCAGTTGCCAGTGCAATCAGTGCTGCTGGCGTAATTGGTGCTGCTCGAGTTGTCATTGAAGAAGGAAGTGAATTAGCACTAAAAGCTGCTGGTAGTTCACTAGTAGCAGTTACCATTCCTCTTGATCTTTGGGTCTTAATTTATAATTCTTATCTGTTGCACAATGCAGCTCAAGATGAGACTGGCCAGACTGATAGCAACAGTACCATTAAAAAATTAATAGAGCAATTTGGAGACTCTTTGAAAGGTTAGTAGTTTAAAATATATTATATTTCATTTTATTTTTTTTATTTAGGTTTTTTTCATGTTATTGATGCATCAGAATACAGGGAGAGTGGTGCTATAATCGATAAAGAAAGATGTGGCTATAAAGTGAGCATTCCAAGATTTGCTCCACAAGAAGCAGCTTCTGTAACAGTATCCACTATACTCTCTGGTGCATTTAATTTACCTAAAGGAGCAGTATTAGTCAGTGCAGTTTATGATATCCTGATTGATAAAAGCCTTAAGGATCCTGTTACTATTGATATAGAGCACTGTGTTGATGTGCTTGATGAATCGGTAATTGGAAAATTGTCCTTTGCTATTGCTAAAGCAGATGTTACTAAAAAAGCATTTGAGGTCCAGTGTATTACTGGTGGAACATTTACTAGGGATTCTGCTTATGGATCAATTACTGTCAAAGAAAGTTGCCTTCTCTGTGTAGTGACTACTGAACCATTGTAAGTTTAATTTATTTATTTGTATTTTTTAATATTATATTTAGACTTTGTTCTGAACTGAAGTACTCTATTAATTGCTCTTATGCAAAGTTTTATCAAGACTTTTGGATCATGAAAGCTTCTTTTATTAAAAATCTTTCTGCTTATTCAAAGGTTTTGATAATTAATACATTTGATATAATATAACACCCATTTTTTATAGTACATTCAAATCCAGAATGCTAGTCCTGATGATGTTCATTCTTTTCATTTTAATGCTCTTGATGAACCATGTATTAATGTACAAGACTTTAAGACCATGGCATCTAATGATTGGACTTTATCTCCTCATATCATACCCAATGGACCAGTTAGTATTAATTATTATTATTACTATTGTGTACTTTAATGCTGAATTGTAATTGTTTAGATATTTAAGAAGTCATTAGATGGCATTGGGTTGATTCACAGTGGAACCACACTGAAAGAAACAATTCCCTTCATTGAGTTTCACGTTACTAGAAGTGAAGGAAGTAAGAAAGAATGTGATTTAGAGCTTAAGTTAACTGGAACTGATTTGAATCATCTACCTATTAACTGTCGTAATTAAACTTTTTATTGTCTCAGTTGTACTTATTTATAATAATGTATTAATTGCCTTATTAATGTTATTATTATAAATAAGTAGTTTATTTTTGTTACCATACTGGAAAACTGTTTATTTGCTGTTTCTAACACAACAATATTGGTAGTTTAAATTTCTGATTAATTTTTCTAAATAATATTAAAATATTTTATACACGAAGTGAATAAAAATTTGTGAATGACAAAAGTTCAATTTTTTTGCATATGTCACATTGCAACCCTTTTAGCAATATTGTGCATGCACATTATGGTCAGCGTTAATTCTTTATATGTCATTTAGTTGACATTATAGTGTCTATGTAAGCCATGATACCATTAATTTTAAACACGAGTTTTCATATGATATACATGTCTACTTATATCATTTGTCCATTTTTATGTGTATTACATGCATAGTGAGTGACCTTCAAAATTACACATCATAGTAGCTGGAATAACTGTCAACAAAGCAATCCTGTGAGATTAATTTAACAAAGTATTGGATATAGAATCCTGATTAGTACTATTGGAAATACAGAAATAAAATAGTAGTAGTAGCTTATAATGTATTATGATGTCTGTAATGGAATTAGGATCATCAAACATGGCAAATCAATATCTTATAATTGTGGGAATGTAATTGAATTTTGTATCTCTAATCAAATACATAATAGTTAGAGGAGATCAGGGGATAGAACCATCCCCAACCCTTAAGAGAATTTGATCACAATAATACATCCTCTGTATAATAAGGTCCACAGTTTGGTGGATAAATGTTCTCGTGAATAATGCTATCCTATCACTTATTTAGAGCCTGCATAATATTTTAAAAGTTTATCACTGATAATTATGGTATATTTGTGTTGTTATTCACCTTATGTAAAAATTTGACAATCAAAATTATGGATATTTTTATGCTGTGTAAAATTTTTGAGTGCTTTTAGCCAAAAATTTGTAGGAGAGATTTCTTCATTCTTATATTTTTTATTCATGTATATGTACATATGTTGTGTAGAAATTTTGACTGAGTCCGATTATGATTGAATTTTTGAATTTACTCAAAAATTGGGTCAAAGATCATGGGCTATAGTACATGGTCAATGGCCAAATTTCATCAAAAATGGCTTGGAGGGAATTCTCCATTTGTGTAATTTTTGATACATATACATGTACAAGTGTTGTGTAGAAATTTTGACCTGCTTTCGATTGTAATTAATTTTTTAATGAATTTTTAAGGCTAGTATAATTCATTCTTTTTTATTCAATTAGTTACTTTTTTATCAAAAGAAATTTGTTCCTCTCCTTCCATTTTATGTACTTGTACTCATCTTAATGTCTTTTGACCTCTTTCTGTGTTCTCCTCTTTGCCATGTATTCCCATGCCACATGCTGTATTATCAATTACAAAACTTGTAACAATGACTTATGATGATAATATTGAAGGATTGTTAGGATTCTACTTTCAGTTTGAGGAGAAAGGATAGAAATGCAAGAGAGAAGGAGAGCAAAGTGTGTTGTTACTGTACTATTGGTGTGGATGGCCTTAATCAGATTGTTTGATCCAGCTTTAACAATTTCTACCCAAAATTGGAGTTACAATAAGAAGAACGAGTGTGACATAGCCTTGAATTCTGTAACGATTCTTTTCTATGCAGTTCTTCCTATTTTCTGTCTCTTTACTGATATAAAGTTTGGATGGCTCAAAACAGCAACTACCAGTGCCTCTATTGGAGCTCTGTGTACACTTATTTACATTGTTTTATGACTTGATCTGGTTAGTTATGGTAAAATAGGTGATATTATTAAAGTAGCAATTGATCCCATTGTTCTCTTTACAAGACTTTATTTTGAGATTTTGATACTTTGTCTTGGTGCTTATCAGCTCATAGAAATATCGTCTAATTCTGACCAGATAAGTAGCTACTTGTGGTGCCACATTTGGTGTACTAATTTTGGTACAAGATTATCAGATAGAAAATGATCTGAACAGATCTGATTGAAAATGGAAGGCAATGATAGATCTACACGTGGATGCACGTGGCACTAACAGTGGGCGGTGCCGCGGTGGTGTAAACTTAACCCCACAGGCACATTGTCAAAATGGCGGAGGCTAACAGTGAAAGTCAAGATGAAAGTAGCATTAAAAGCAGTTCCATTGAGGATCCATCTGTGGGTAAGTAAATGAATACAATTATCCTCTCTATTGTATATTGTTATGTAAAAATTTAAGGGAGGAACCTACTAGCTAGCTTTGATTTTTATATCACAGCCTGGCCTATCACAACACTCAGTTTTATATAGCACTTTTATTTAATGGCATTACATGATTTAAGATGATTATCACATGTATCGGGTGGGGTCAAGATACTTTCAATCATACTGGCTTTTCTTAGTAATTCTGATTGCTCCTTAAAACACTGGAAACTGCTGAAATCATGATCAGGTGGGCTAGATAACTTTGTTAAGAGGCTTGGTAATGATGTAAGAGACCAGGACTTAGGTAATTTTTTTCTGAGCCTAGCTATAAGGAGGGTGCTCACTAAGCCCACTCATCCCCCTGCCCTAAATATGCCCCTGTTTGAAATCACTTTTGAAAGTTTAGGTAACTTTTTAGTCTCGCCCCACCTCTTCACTACCTGGTCTTGAGACACTTGTAGTAAGAATGTATGCAAACAGGAACACATTTATTGTCTAAAAATGTCTGAAGCTCCTTTAGTTTAGTTAGCTTTAGATGTAGTAAAAATTCTAAAACCTTCTAAAGCTATTGGAGAAGCCTTTGTACAGAATTCCTACCTTATCTTGCTGCTAGAAAACTCATGACTTTTTCCCTGTATTCACTGTGTTGATCACCATTTTATTTTTTGTTTTCACTCATCACTTCTGCATTTATTGTAAATATTATGTATTTTGGGGGAGCATGATCGATACCCACTCTAATTTGTCTAGATCTATTTTGCGTTACCTCTTGTTCGTGAATGATTGAAAAAATTTATAAATCA